GCAGAGGCCCGAGATGTATCCCACACAAGGCGAGGCAGCAGACACGTTGTGGAGGCTTAACCGGCGGAACGGTGATACCTATACCGTCAACCGCAGTATCCAGTGTCGCTTTGACAAGTTCCCAGCCCTTTGATGTGCGTATATGGCCATCCGCGATCAGTCTATCGAGTAACTGAGTTGACACGACGGAGCCTTGAGAATGGGTTGCCACAAAGACAACGTCCGCCCTTTTCGCATAAACGTTAACATTTGATATGAATCAAGGTCATTTGATGCTCACTCTTGCAAGTCCTCGACCCTGCAATGATCTCAGCATGAGTAGGGGGAAGTAAATCAGCGACTCACCATTCCTTATTTGCAAGGAAGTTCTGGTACAATCTATACAAATATTAGTCACGACGGACTCTCGAGCAGTTCACCTACTTTTCAACTCGTTTCTCAATTGTACCTTCACCCTCTAGTGGCATACAGGTTATTTTCTCCAAAACTACATCTTGTTTCTCCATGAACCTCTTGACTGCAGCTTCCATCATGGATGCAAATTTGGGACTTGTCCCTGTCGGTTCGCCGAGTAAGGTTCTCATGATTGTTCCAGGGAACCATCTTGTTGAAGAATCTATCAGCCATATGCACTCTAAAAGCAAAAACACTCACCCATGGACACCAATAATAACGATTCTCTTACACTCTTTGATCCTTCCAACGTCTTGAATTCCCAAGACTTCTCCAACTCTAGGTAAATCCCTGCCAACATCTCTTGCAGATCTGAGCCCTTCGTAGTTACGAGGAACCTTGGCCCCAGAGTGGGCTTGCCATTCTCGCATCTCGTCGTTGGAGACTTGACCACCTCCATTAGACGTGATGCCTAACACTCCGCTGACAAGTCGGCCTACTTTCTTTAATGTGGTCGGTCTTGTGTGGGGTGGTAAGGCCCGTGGTAATGTGTAGAAAGTATCCCCAAAGGTGGGCAAGATCATATTCGGAGCTTTTGATGCAGATTGTGGGGGGAGAGACCTTTTGGACGGTGTTGCACTAGACGAACGCTTGGTAGTACTCAATCCAGTTACTTTTCGCCTAATGGACTCTGAATCCGTTAGGGGTGGCTTAGGGGGACCTCTCCTCGCGGGGCCCGCAGAGCTGGAGCGTGGCTTTGATGACGGTGTAGAGGTACTAGATGCGATAATGCCGGCTACCTTCTTCCCTACGATCGAAGGGGCATTAGAAAGGGAGACAGTAGGTGCGGGGACTTGAGTAACTGGTATTTCGGTATTGACATCGATCTCCATAACTTCTTCTTCAGGAGGTTCTCCTTGTAATGTGACCTTTTTGGCCCCATGGGCTGCTCTAAGAGAGAAGAAAGAAGTCCATGAGGCGCGATTCTCGATCATATCTTGGGCGAGTGGGTTTTGCTCGGTTTCTACACGTGGTGTTGCCTGATCAGGTACGACGGTACCTGGACTCGTTGGTAAACTTGATGGTTGGTTGCCCCGGGCTAATGCTTCCTCCTTTATCAACTCCGCCTCTGT